TCTCTGTATATTTCATATTGCAAATGTAGTCTCTGTTTTGTATCTGCATGTAAACGGAAACAATTGTGTTAACTGTAAACTAGAGTGTTATCCTCCAGAACTCCGTTTACAAAGAGCCCTAGATAACGTCTCCCCTCTAGAAACAGAGGTCAGATCTTCTATTTCAGTGATGACAAACTGAAGCCCTGTGAGAGAATATTCTTACAAGCTGAAGCGTGTCTGAAAAACCCAGACTTTCTATTAAATCAGTGTACAGGGTCTCCTGCTCCCTGGACTGTATATTTGCTATCTGCTACCCATTAAAAGTTTGAAAACGATTGTTTTTCCTGATCTTTATTCCGTTCAGTAGAAAATCCCTCTCAGACCTGGTTTCAGTAGTGCCTGTAGAAGTATATGTATTTATTTATGAGGATGGATGTCCTTGGTGTAGCTCCGAAGCGGGAATTGCCATGTTAATAAGTAATATAAATCCATAGATAGCTAGAATTGGCTCTCTTGTATTTTATTTTTGCTCAATAAATATTGACGGCTTGATGTCAAGCCAGCTTGTTTGCTATACTTTACTTGTGTCTCAATAAGAAGAATGATAAATAATCCCAACAGAAAACTGACACTTCACTTCTGTTAATACAAGGAAATGCCAGCAATTTGGCAATATACATCAATAACACCCCTTCTTTGGGAACATTGCGTAAATAGTGGATAAATAGTGTTGTTCCCAACACATTGAGTGTGAAGGGAGCTTGATGGTTCTGACTTGTAGTTAATGCTGTGTGCTGCAGGACATAGAGATCAATATATATAGGGGTGTATTCTTAGAAGTCATTCTGTCTGTGTTAATTGGGAGGTAAAACCTACTGGAGACATGGAGATAAAGACATGGGGGGAGATTATATGTTTCATCACAGGAACAGAAATATGTTCTTTAGATTCAGTGAATATCTTCTCAGGAAGGGAGAGGTTGGCATAGACACATATAGCAAACCTGCTTTTTCTCTCTACTTGATATAGAAAGAGGGGTAGTGTACCAAATTGAGGGAGCTGGCATGGATAACAAGTATATAGGCACAAGTAATCAATCCTGATAAAGAAAAATCTCGATATCTAATATAGAAAATAAAAAATACTTTATTAATACAAGAATGTTAAAAATTGGCATTCCAGCTCCCCCAGTTTGGTACACTACCCCTCTTTCTATATATAGTTTACATTTGGGGTTACCCCACTTAAACCTGTGTACCAATAACTGTCTGATTCTGTTTTTTATCTACTTGATAATTGCACCAACATTTTTTACATCATTCTTAAAAAGGGAATGCATGGTCTGGCATATACAAGAAAATGTCAAATATACTCGCCTCTGAATTTCAATTGCTTTCCTTTCCCTCTCCTGGATTGTGGGATATGTAGTTCACAAATGTGAATGGCTTTATTCATGAAAAGACATGAATGGAACGCCCAGCTCAGCTTGTCTTTCATGGTTTTTGTGAAAAGAAGCCACTTATAGCAGCATATATGTGGCTGCTGTACAAGTCATTATCTTAGCCTTTTATGAGAGAAAGACAAAATATAATAGTTAATAGTTAGGAGTTACCCAGCATGTGCATATGGAGTGTTGGTGGACTACATACACATTCCTGCTACATATTGGCAGGCAACTCATATTAATGCAAATAGTCACATTAAAGTGATCAGTACGCAATTATTGTTTGCACAGAATGTGGTTTGTCCTCATTGGTAGGTAAGTGCACCTCGCTGTTTTGAGTAGGGAATATGCCATATAAGTTCTGCATATTCTCGCCTATAAATTCTATTTAAAAGAAAAAAAGACTGGAAATCTCATGTTTGACTTTGAGATGTCCCCTTTGGGCACAAAACCTTAAGAAATCATTCTTCCATAACTATCCCTTGGTCTAATTAAACAAATGATATCTTTAGAGCAGTATTATAAACACTGTTCTGTGAATTGAATACCACTGGAAACAATGTACTGTATAATAGGTATAAATTAAGACTGAAAATAATAGACTAAAACCGAGAATAATTCTAGGAACGTCTAGCCTGGTAATATCCAAATCTGTTTATTATAAGAAACCCACAGCACACTAAAATATGACAAAAAGTGAATCTTTATTTCATAAAGGAGTTTAAGCATGGGTGGGATAGGCATAAGGCTATCCTAACTATAAGATAAGGCTAGGGACTAATGAAAGTATTTAGAAAATTGGGCAGACTAGATGGACCGAATGGTTCTTATCTGCTGTCACATTCTATGTTTCTATGTCTATGTTTCTATAATAAGTCCAATCATATGTGAACAAATACAAAGTGCATACATAAGATACACTTCATACATGTGCACACTATTCATTAACAACTATGCCAGTAATAAAGTACATAAACAGGTTACCCATTCAGGGTAAAAAAAAAAACATATCCTGACCGAAGGCTGGAGACTACAATTGCTACATTTCGGCTACTGCCTTGTTCACGGGATCTCAACATGAACATGTTTTTTTTATGTTAAAACAAAGAGAACGTTACCTGCGCTCTGGCCTAAATCCCTACGTACATTTAAACAAAATGGAGGCTAAAGAGTACATAGGGATTTAGGCCAGAGTGCAGGTAACGTTCTCTTTGTTTTTACCATGTATTTTGAGCTGTTGGATACTAAGCTACTGTTGCTGTAAGCGCGGTGCTTTATCTTTGTGTTTGTATATGATGTTTTTTATATTAGTAGGGTTAAGCCCGTAGACCGCCCTGGTCTGCCACCCTTGCACAGAACTTTGCAGCTCTAGTGCAATCTTTTTTTTTTTTATAAATTAAGACTGGCTACATATGGTATGCCAGGCCTGCAGTAACCAAGCTTCATGTGTTCTTACAGGTCACTGGGGTGGTGTCTGATGCAAATGGAAAAGCACATTATGTTCTATCAGGGACCTGGGATGAGAAGATTGAGTGTGCAAAGATTGTGCATAGCAGCCAAGGCAACAGCAGTGCAGAGGGCAAGCAAAAAACCGTCTACCAGACACTGTCTGCAAAGCTGCTATGGAAGAAATACCCTCTGCCGTAAGTGCCACAAAATCAGAAACTAGTATACTGCATGTGTGTATTCTGTACCTTTCTTATGAATACAGAGATCCTATGGAAAAGAGGAAGACTTCTGAATGAAAATGTATTTTTGCAGGTCTTTCTCATTATTTCATACAAATACACATGTAATATCAAAGCCCTGGTTGGAACCGTGTTTTTCAAGCAATGTTTCTCTTTATTTACTGCCTTTGTGAAATCGTCCCATTTAGAATGTCCTTAGAACTGATCACTTAAGTCATTTTGGTGGGAGTAAACACAATAATGCAATTCAGTGTCAAAAGTCAAGCAAAAAATAAAAGTTGTGACTAACAACTGAAGTATAGTAATCTGAATAACAGTGGTCTGTTGCATTGTGATGCTGAAGCAAACAGTAAAGAGGAAAATGTTGTATTAGTTCAAAATCATGCAAAGAGCTGCCAGTTTCCTCTTCTAGTTTAAGCACTAATAAATACATTTTGTTCCCTGTCCTACTGTAGAGAAAATGCAGAGAATATGTACTATTTCTCTGAGCTCGCTCTGACACTCAATGAGCCTGAGGATGATGTGGCCCCGACAGACAGCCGACATCGGCCAGACCAGCTATTGATGGAGAATGGTAAATGGGATGAAGCTAATGTAGAGAAACAGAGACTGGAGGAGAAGCAAAGAGCTGTTCGCAGGAGGAGAGAAGCAGAAGCAGTAGAAGCGTTGGAAGAAGGTAGATACTGGATTACAATGATGTGTAAATTAGTTTTCTCCGTTTATTTTGAACTGGTGCATTGTTAAAGCAGTGGATCTTAAACTTTGTTTGTCAGGGTGCCAAATTCTGTACATGGCATTCATTTGTAAATGTATCTAAGAGGACCTATTCTGTGTCACAGGGGTTAAGAAGCACTATGCTGAAATAACCAAGATAGTAGTTTGTGGGCT